CTTTCGCATTAAAAAAAAATAATTATAGTGACTCGTAACTTGTGTCAATGTTTCAGATATGTTTATTTATGTGTGGAACTAATATTTAGATAAATCAGTGACTATACATTTTTGCCAGAGTTCCCTTTTAACACCGTTAACTGTTTAACTGGGGACCCTCATGACCAAAAAATATTGTCAAAATGGAGGGTTTCTTTTGTCCCAATTTTGCCAATACTTTTCGGTACCACACATATCTCGTCAAACTGTTTTTGTTCCGCCATCTATGCATAGGTTTGTAAAGCAAGACTATTTCTGACGTTTGGGGGATACATGGCACTTCCTCCCATGCGATGAAAAGAGTGTGAGTCTGAAGACCAACTGAAGAGTGACGCATTTATAGACGTGCCCCTCAAGCTGCGGTCGAAATTTCCGTGTATCTAAAGACGCGCTCCCCAGTTGAGGGGTTAACCCTTTTGGAGGAGCCTGGCTCGTCAACGTGAAGCCATCCCCAAACTGTACAGGACGAGTATAGCTTGTTTGCTTTCCCCATTTCATGCACTCAACCGTTTTGCATGAGCCAGGCTCACTCATGGCTTAGTTCGAGGCTCTGCCAACATAAGACAGCACCAAATTTTTTGAAATTTTGCCCCCATTCTGTTTGTGGCTAGAAACATGATTTTGAAGGCAACAAATGTAATTTTGAAGACAACAATAAGTCATTTTGGAGACAACAATAAGCAGTTAAGGGACAGAAATCGCCGAAAAATAAAAACAGTTAAGGGGTTAAAGGACAATTCCACTCTATTTTTTTTTAGATTTTCCAGTTATGACTGTTTTAGACGAAGTCAGCCCTGAATAACAAAGTATAATTCGAACGTGAACATTTGACTAAAATCAGTCTGGTTGGGTGGAGTAATTTTAAAAATCGGGGACATTCAACCATGCCCTAATTGGGAACCCTACGCTTCAATGCCTATTTGGCTCTTCTTCAGGGGTGACTGTGGCTACATGGCTGTTGAGGAGCAGAGTTTCCGTTTTCATTTTCTTTTACGGTGGTGCATTTCTTTTTGAGTTTGTGATGTCTCGAAGCCTGTGAACGTACGCAGATGGTAAAGTGCCGAGAGATCTATTAATTTCTTGCGTAGTTCATATGTGCCACGACTCCAAGAAAAGCTGCTGTCAGTGGTTGGTTTCTCTGTCGAGGATTTGGGTGTCCTTGAAGTCAATGCGGTGGTCTCTGACGTCGCAGTGTTCAGCAACTGCGCCGAGCTCGTGGTCAAACCTGTGAACATTGTTTTGGTGTTGTTGGATCCCCTCCTGAAGGTTCTTGGTTTCGCCGATGCACATGGCTGGACAATCCACACCTGGAATCCTATAAACGACACCTTGCGTTCTCTTTTTAAAGGGGGCGATCTTTTGGTCGGCTTACGCCACGACCAAAAGATTGCCCTCCTAAATGAAAAGTGCAAGGTGTCATTTATAGGATTTCCAAAACAATGTTTGCAAGTTTGACCGTGAGTGCAGCGTGGTTGCTGAACACTGCGACGTCAAAGACCACCACACTGACTTTAAAGGGCAACTCGCTCTCATTTCTGATTTTGAAAAATCAAGGCAGTCCTTTTCAGTATCACCTAGAAAGACCACACGTCAAATGCACATTACGACGTAGTTCTGTCTAAATGTTTTTTAAACGGTCCGACAAACTTTGGAATGCGCCAAGTTACCGAAATCAGCTGACTCTAGCGAGCGAATTGAGGTGCAATCAACAGCGCAGTCAAGACTACGTAAGACATTGGCGTAGCCAACATTGAGCTGAATGTCATCGATGTTGCCCCTTCTGTTTGTTTTTACTTCTCTAGGCAAGCATAACAAGTGACGTCAGCCACATTTCCTCTCGGCGCTCAGCAGTGTCCGAGCGAGTGGCTTAACGCGCCCGCGCTTCTTAGAAGCCGTCCCACCGTCCGCCATCGTGGTCTCACTGTTTGGGCTTACTCTATCTCGGAGTTGCGATCACATTATGTGTGCAGACTGACGCCGCAGTTGTTCAGACATCGTTGAATGTCATAGACACCAAAATGTGGTAAAGAGTGCGATGCAGACGACACTTGCACCTCGCACACGCTTGCCCCAACAGTGGCCGCCATCCTCCTCCCTCCTTCCCCCTCCCCTCCCCCTTCCCTTCCCTTCCCTTCCCCCCCCCCCCCCCCCCAATCCCGCCTGTCATTGCATAGAGGATCACGTCATATCTCGTACCACTTGGTAGCCACGTTTTTGGCGGCACAAGGCCAATGTTGCTGGACAGAGCCAAAGTTTTGGTTTCGATTTCTGCTCATGTTTAAAGCAAGATTTAACAAAATATATCCAATTTTTCGTGAAGAAATTGATGTAGTGCCTTTTATTAGTGCTCTTAAATGTGAAATCACTCATTATCTCAAACTTTTGGGAAATAGAGTGGAGTTGCCTTTTGAGAAACCTGCATTCTCAACAATTAAGCCCAAGTTTCAAAGTTCCCTTTGTGGGGTACCTGCTGAAACCGCAAACGATTAATTTCAGTTTCGTTTAGTTTTCGAAACAAAACACGTCACAATTCCCTCCTCGCATCGAGAGTACAAGACGGGAGGGCCTTCGGCACAACTTTGAAAGCGCTCCTATGGCTTCTTAGCACATTCAATATGAAAAATAATTTTGATATTGGTGATGTTAGAGACCAAGTGAAGACGAATGCTTCAAAGCAGCGGTTGTTGTTAGTGTTCCTTTCCCACGAAATCTGGCTTTGTTTGAACGCAAAAGCACATGATTGTGAGGAGAAAGGTGACGCTGAGGGAGAAAAGTGACAGCGCTCCTTGCACCAGAGCATCAGCTAGGGCAAGATGCACGCCCCCTTCCGTGCTTTCGCCGCTGCAGAGTTCTTGAACGTTCTCCGCACGGCCAGAAAGAACCAAAAAGAATGCGTCGACGGCAAGCGGGCCATGAGCGACAAGCAGTGCGAACACGAGGCAGACGTAAAGAGGCGGAGGTGGCGGGACCATAACAATCTGTTTCCTTTGGGCAATTTCAGATTGTATCCCTAGAGGACTTCTTTGGGTGCTCGTGTGATGTGTGCAACCAGCTGAAGTTTTCGAGAGACCTGATGCCCACACAATCCAAGCCCGTCTCCCTCCTGGCCCAAGAGGTCGCCGGCCAAGACGTGGTCTCAAAGTCTGCCCGACACGCGAGTCTGCCTTACAAAAGGACAAAGTGCCAAACCTGTCTACCAAAAGGAAATTTTTTAAAACATCGTTCAACAGTTACCGCTGTCAATCACACTGGCGCTCGAGTTTTCTTTTTCTCAAATACAGAACCGTTTCGGTATATATTTAACTCTTTGAGGTAATGCGTTGGATTTCGCCCGACAAAGGAATGTTCTTGTTGTGGTCAGGCGTCGGGGTCTCTCAACGGTCCCTTTTCTGCTTTGCGATCAGTTGTCGTGCACGCACCCGGCAATTTGGACTTGCGCCATCTATAACCGGCAGCGTAAGCATAATGCCTTTAATTTTCTAGCTTTATGTGAGATGGCGTAAACAATGATGCTTTTTCTACTCTTTTTTTCTGGACAAGGAGGACTTTGCGCACACTTTCACACATTGTTTATTATAGCAGCTCTTTTTCCCTTTCGCGTTTTCAGGGAAAATATGTTAGCGATTTATGTGACAGTGAAGGTGATTTTAGCAGAAAAGACAACCAGAAAGAGGGCTCTGAAAGCTTCTGCGATGATTCCTCAGAGAATGATTCTGACAGTTCTGTAAATGAGAGTGATAAGAAGAGTCTTACAGAAACTGTCGTTTCTCAAAGCTGGACACCCCACACGGATGCAGGTTACAATTCTGAAACTCCTCCTTATACACTTCAAAAGACAGCCCTTTCAGCTTTTGTGTTTTCATGGATGCTTCAATGGTGAATTTTATGAGTGATCACCAAGTGATTGTATTGTTTTTAGTGTAAAATATTTGTGATTCTCGAGGGACTAGTAATGTAAAAGGTCACATGATCCCACAAGGTTAAGTGGGTGCTTCGTACACTTTAATTTTAATTTATTTATTTTTAAGATTTGAAAGTGTTTTGGTTGAATGCAGCTAAATTTGGCTCTCAGCACAGACAGCGTGGTTGCAACAGAAGCGTTTAACCTGGCTGCTCGGAAGGCAGCATGATGACAGTGGCAGAGCTCCAAGTTTCTGGAGTGATTTATTCCAGTCGATTCAATAACAAAATGTTGAGACATGAAACCATTGCACAGACACACATGTAAACTCATCTATATATACGTCACTTCCCCATAACCAAGCTTCATCAACTCCAGCGCATATGCGCCAGGTTTTGAAAGAGTCCCGTTGGAGGCATTCCAAGAAGCCGTTGCTCGTGAGGGTTGCCGGTGTCTCCGCCGTGGTTGCAAAGCTCTTTTCCGGTCCTCCCGGAAGCAATGACTCAAAAAGCACCTGGCGTCTTTCCAAGTTCAAGAGCCTCCCACACACACACACTGGTGGGAGTAATTTCAAAGTATTGGCCTGGGGTTTCTTTAGTAATGCACGCAACGGGAAGAAGACATCACACTTTTGAGAAATTAAGTTACCAAATGGCTGTGCCTGCTAAAAGCGAGAGCTCTGAAACTCTTAAACCTATTCTTCGAGAAGTAAAACAGCCGGCCAATATGGCAGCTGTTTCACTGGCCCCAAGTCCACTGAACGTTCCCATTGTAGCACACCACACGGCGAATCACAGAAAACACCACAGCAGGTTGAGTGGACCAAGCAGCGACATTTCCGATGCAATCATCTGACTGCATATAAATTGTCGCGAAAAAAAGTATTCGCATTCACTGCTCATTACTGATATCGAGCTACCTCATCTCTCATGTGCAGGAAACAATTTGGTTTCTCAGTTAGCCTTAGTCAATCTATTAATATTTTTCTAGAGAGTTGCTGACAGAACTAGAAGGGCACATGTGAATATGTGCATCAAACCTGTCCGAAGGGAGCACTCACCTGCTGTGGCTTGTGGTCGAAGGAGAGGGGGACGGCCTGACCCTTCTTGTCGCACAAGACCCCCCGCGAGTCCCCGACGTTTGCCACCACCAGGTGTGCAGCGTGCACCAGTGCCACCAGCGCTGTGGAACCTGAGATAATAATAACAATAATAAATTTCTTTATTTTGCCAACAATACACAGTTGGAGGGTGTTGATTAGTCCCTAAATGTTAGCAACCCCCAAATCATGAGATAAGTTTGTGATGCCTGGGTCAACTCGGAAAGGAGAGTAATCAAACTGGTACAACGTGTCGGGCTTTGACAAACTGCAAATTATACATACACATCAAAAGAAATTGTGATTCTGGTTTAAGGGGTCTTTTTTCTGGTCCCAGCACCACATTCAAACTGGACAAGGGCCCCAAAAAGGGTTACAACCTATCCAGGTATGAATGAAAATTCTAAAAGAAACATTCCGTCTCTCTTTAATGCTAGTCGGAAAGGTTGGAATGTTTCTTACTAAAGAAGAGGCAGTTGCATCCTTTACTTCTTTTTCTTGAAAATGTTCGCTCTTTGAATTTGTAGTTCACTGGGCACGATGTGCTCGCAACTTGATTGCACCATAATATATGGTTCCCTTTTATAACCTGCGAGGCAGTTACCTCTTACTGTGCCCCTCAAACCTGGAGCATCGTGGAAGGTGAGGAACCAACCCTTCTTTTCACATATGCAGTTTTGCCTGAGCATGCCATGTTCGAAATTTCTGGCATCTCGCGCTGTCACTTTGGCACAGCTTTCTCAGGGTATTTAACGATGCTACACCAATGCTTTGACTATGATATAGAAGTTTGAGTAACAAGAAAGTCATCATGAGCTAGAATCTGCTAGATGTCCAATGTAGTGGGCGATATTGAAGCAAGAGTTCAAATTGTAGTTTGGAAAGAAAGAAGCTGAAATGGATTCAACTGGTTCCAAAACACTGACAAATGTGTTAGCTGCGACACCGTCCATGAAAGCGGATCTTCCTCATAGCTGGAACTGACAAGGCAGGTTGACAGAAGGGAAATTCTTTTATGCAAAAAATAATAAAACCTACTTTTGCTTTGTCCGTGGAAAAGGACAACATACCTGACAAGTCTTTCTTGGCCTTGGCTGCAGCCAATAGGTCTGTGTCAAGGCGAAGTATCTCCTCGGTGATGACTCGCGAAAACTCGGCGAGCAATGCCCTAGTCCCTTCTGCCCTCTGCTCTGGCGTTTCCTTTGGCGTCCGGTGCTGGCTTTTGACCTCGACGAGCCTCTTGATCAGGGACGGAAACAACTTCTTCTCCGCAAAGTCAGCTGCCAACTGTGGAAGACAAAGCCCATTTTGTGGCTTTTTTGTTTTGTTTTCTTCTGTCATTTAATTATTTAAAAGGGCCTCCATTGTAGTGTGTGAAGATACAATAGGAATCCAAAAGGTACACACAAAAAATGGTGCTTCATTTTGAAGCTAGGAGCCTCAGGCTTGGTTCCTTTAAGAACTCAAAAATAAAATAACAAATAAATGAGAACAAAAGAAATGAAACATAACACAATGGTAAAAGCAATTGCGTTGTATGTTTACACAGCCAAGAGTTAGTCAGACCCAATGGGCATCTGGTGTCTCAGTTGTAGATGAGAAATCTAGCCAGTGCAGTAGAACCGCTAGACCGGAGTCTTTAACACGCAGCACGCAGTAGTGATACATGACTGCACGCCAGTACGACGCTCATTCATATCGAAACGGGCGGGAGTGGGGATCGAACCCAGAATCCCTGGCTCTGCAGCGTAAGCTTTCACTCCACAAGTTCCGAGCTGGTACGCGCTAGCCGACTCGGCCACCAATCCCCCAAAACACAATGGGAACTCGATTGTCCCTCTCACCTTCACCCGTGATTTTACTGACAGCTGCTGCTGTGCACAAGAGCAAGTCTATTCATCCAAGTTATGCAAGCATTAGGTGGTCAAACCCCGACATGAGCCCCAAAGGCCCGTTCCCACACCTGCACTTCCTAAGACCGTGTGCCTTGAAACGTCTTTAAATCTCTTGCGACACAAGAAGACACTGGCACCACCTATGGGTACCTGGGGAACACTTGGCGGTTCCGTATACTTTCAATTTTTGGTTCGAAAAACTTTTTTTCAATGTTGTAAACGAACATTACTAGTAGGTAGTATATGTACATTTGATCTCGCAAATACCTCAGAACCTTCGCTCTAGTAAAATGCAGTTCCAGGGTCGCCGCACAGATGGTGCCAAAATTCCGGTGTGTTCTTTTGTAAGAAACATTGCATGTGCCTTGACATCAGACCATCATAGAGGATGTGTTAAAGGTAGAAACACACAACATAAGAAGCTAGAAATTAGAAAGGCTGGGTGATTGATCGGTTAACCTATCGATTAAGCAATTAATGCTTTGATCGCAATTAATTTTTTAATTGTTCAACCGCTTGAACTTAACCCTGGTAAATCAAACTAAAAAATCGATGCGCTCCCGATCTACAAAATGCAAAGACTACCCTGCTTGTCGACATGAAACTCACAAATAACGACACCATTCATCACGTTAAACCAGGACTAGTACCAACTTGAAGGCAGTGTCCAATTTGCAAAGAGCCCATCTGACTTTTCTTGGCTAGCATGGCAAGCCAATGGCATCCACAACACGCAAGAGCACGGCATCCAGCGCAAAGAGGACGCTCCTCAATGACAGCAGGTTCCCCTGCATGCGAAAATTCCAAAAGAGGGATATAGGACACACCCAGTCAGAGATACACCTGTTAGGGGCTTCTCCCCTTGCTCCTCTGGTGTCGACACCCATCGACACATTTTTCATAATCCCCCGTTAAGGTCGGTCCCACCATGATGACCATAATAAAGCGTTTGGTACTTGCCGATGCTGTCAATCCTCTCTAAGCAGTGCCACTCAACGGTGATGGGACACTGTTGTACAGAGTCGAAAGGACAACAGAGAAGCCTGGACATGTTGCTGTACCAATCCACACACAACGTGGCAAATGGTCAGCTACGGCGATTCCTCAGGTAGTGTCGGGTACGAGGAGAGTAATGCCTCTCCTGGTTAAAAAGCCTATAGCTGTATATAGTGGAGCAAGGAAGATTCTGAAGATGCAGGAGAGAGCATCATGCCAAAGACTACCAGAAAACTCCTATATCTTAACAGCTAAAATAATATTCTGAGTTTTTTTTTTTATTTTTTTTTTTTTCAGCCTTACTCGCATAAGTTTATCCATAGCTGAAAATGCACATTGTGGCATTTATCACAGAAAGAAAGCACAATCTACTTTTTTTCCTTTTCATGATATTATACCTGGATATCAAAGCGACCGATTAATCAATTAAAAGGTGGTGATTAATCAGTATACTACTTTTAATAAATGCAGAGCCATAAAAAGATCTCTCTCTCTCTCTCTCTATATATATATATATTTTTTTTTTAACATCATGAAGGATATTATTAAAGGCACAGACAACAATCATGTCACTAATCTAGGATCGCCCCAGCCCAAATTAAAGTTCTAGACATAGAGCTAAAAGGGCCCAGAACAGGTTGTTTTGACCAGCAGTGCAGGAATCTCGAGACATCGCAAACAATACAAAAATAAGAAAATGTACGCAAAAGAAAAGAAAAATACATAAAGAAAGAAATCTAAGAATGTACGGCTATGCTACCGCGTTCAGGGAAACCACTCTTTTCTGTGATGCCCCTGGCCCTGAGGATAAAATAAAAAAACAATTAATAAAATAAACATCAATATAAGTGGTTATAAAGTGGGCTAGGGAGAACGCCCACAAAGTCAAGACAAAACCCATGACAAAGCGCACAAAAAAAGAAAAGAAAACGAGACTTCAAACTCCACCAATATGAGCGTGGTTGTTGCTGTTGTCCATACCTCCCCTCCGTGACCGTCGAAGATTCCGTACAAGTGGATGTCGTGATCTGCATCGCTGAGGATGCTGAACCTGTCCTCCATCCTGGGTCTCCGTCCCTGGACGGCGTACACGCCCGCGTGCCTGCCCTGGAGCTCCCACGATGCCCGGTCACTCCTCGACGTCGGATTCACCAGCAGCCTTATCTTGTCCCTGTTGCCGTAATATCCACTAAGCACCTCCAGTCTCCGGGCCAGCAGGTGAAACCAGATATCAGTGGAATGACAGAGGAGGATGCCCGCGATGAGTGCGACCGCCACGGCCACGGTCCCGGGCCGGAACATGTACAGCCGGAGGTAGAAGACTGCCGCGTCCGCCATCATGGACAGGTCCAGCCTGACTTTGGAAAGAATCTTCACGTGGGCCCAAAATATTTCGTTTACGAGTTCATCTTCCAGATCATCGTCCATGTTCTTCCTCCTCCAGATTCTCCTCGAGAAACAGAAAGATGCAATGCTTGATCAGTGTTGTCCACGTCGCAATCGCGTTTTCGCCATTGTTGGCTCATGATCGCTCGGTTGGGCTGATGTCGCTGGCTTGGAGGATTGCCGTTGGAAATACGGGGACTTTCGGTTTCGTTTTAAGCTGCCGCGTTTGTCAATTTCTTTGTTGATACTCTAAGTTAATTTCAAACCGAAAACAACCTTCGGAGAGGTTACGCTAAGTATATACAACTTGAGGGATATTAAATTGTGAAACATCTCCTTCGATATCGAAATATTTAAAGTGACGTTGGTTCAAAGGTCGTGCCGCGTCATTCAGGCCTGTGCCATTGAATGCCGACGTATACATATTGGACGCGAGTGCTCCGTCAGTGATCGGCTGGACTTCGTCTCCAATCAACGCGTAGAAGGACGCTCGGCATCGGGCTCCATCCGACTCTGATGACGTTCAATGGAGGAAGAGGAGGATGTTCGCAGGCTAATACCGAAGAGGAAAGAACGAAGATACCGAATGATGGTTCGTCAACGCCATGGAGCAGAGTCTATTTCTGTCGAGGAACAAGATGCTCCCAACAAGGTGTTGTGCGTCGAATCAACTGCAATGACTGAAAAGGGCGCTTCCAAGTTCTTCAGCACTCCGAAGACAGGATGGTTTACCCTGGAACACACCGCGTACATCGTCTGCTTCGGTTTTCTGTTGACCATCTTGCTTCTCGCAATCCTATGGGTTATCGGTGAGTCTGCCTAGCTGGATGTGAAGATGAAGTCGGTCCCAGGTTAGGTAGCTTTCTGCGTATAGGCCGCACCACTGTTCAATATCCTACAAATCCGCACCCGTTCAAGACACGTGTGAAGAACAGGTCTTCACTAGGGCGCTTTGTTTTGATGATATCGCACCTTGTGCTCTCTTTATTTCACGCTACAAAGCCTGCGATGCGTCCTTGTGTAAGGCTCATATACTAGCCGTAACGCTTCTTAGTTTGCCACAAAAGTAGCTTTGATCTTCACTACCTTATTTTCAAAAAGTTACTACGCCCTCTCTCCACCTTTTCCTCTTCCTCTTGCTGTTTCATACTTAGTGCCAGCGGCGTAGACTTTCAATTTTGCCGGGGAGGGGGGGGGGGGGGGGGGGGGGGGCGTTCTCTTCTCGCCAGACCTGGAGATTGAAGCTAACAAAAGCACGCTGGGATTCAATTTCCCATGTATTTTGTCAATAAAGGCAACGTGGGCGTTATTTTGTTTACATGCCGCTACTAGAATAATAATAATAATAATATTTATTCAACTCGGAAAGAGTTGCGACACCACAAAAGGCGAGGAGCCCATACCAGGAGGTCTGTGGTGCCGCAGTTACATAAGCGACAAATAAAAAAAAACAAAAAAAAAGCATAAAAAAAACAAAAAAACAACAAAACAACACTCGGCTGCGTGCTGCTTAGGACCGCAAGTGCGGTATTGCCCCCCTGCAGATGGGTCTTATATCTTCTTTCTCGCTCAGGCCCGCTGTCAGCTCTGATGGCAGGGACCGCCACAGATTTACTGCCCTGATGACGAAGGTATTCCGGTGCCGGTCAGTGCGGGCAAAGAGTGGTTGAAGGCCACCGTTCCGGTTCAGCCGCAGCTGCCGTGCAAGAGGAACCTCGGGAGCCTCTGGCAGGAGGCAGGTTTCCAAAAGCCGGACCGAGGAGATTTTCCTGCGCAGGGCCAGAGAGTTCCAACCCACACGTGCCAGCAGATCATCCGTAGCTATGTCCCGGTACCGGGGGACATGAGGGGTCTGCCACCGCAAGATAGTGTACGCGGCACGTCTTTGCACACTTTCAAGAGAAGCGGATAAGGTGGCCTGAGGGGGGTCCCGGACTGCGGCACAGTACTCAAGGTGCGGCAGCACCAGTGCGGTGTAGAGGTGCCTCAGTGTTCTTGACCCGGCCCCTCTTGAGACACGGGTAACAAAACCCAGCATCCTTCGAGCTCGGGAGATCACTTCGACAATGTGAGTGCCGAAACTGAGTCGACAGTCCAGTTTGACACCTAACAACTTGGTGCTGGTCGTTCTGGAAATGATCACTCCGTCAAAGTTGTAGCAGGGGAGTGCGGAACGCTGCTGCCTGGATGAGGATATCTGCATCACAGTGCACTTGGCAAAGTTCAGTGGAAGTATGTTTTTTCCTGACCAGGCGACAACATTGTCCAGGTCCGCTTGGAGTAGTTGGTGATCGAGGGGGCGACGGATTGGCTGCACAAGGGTGAGGTCGTCGGCATAAAGAAGGGGCGTACAACCTAAGACCCGGGGGATGTCATCGACAAAGATGTTAAAGAGGGTGGGGCCTAGGACGCTACCCTGAGGAATCCCTGACACGACCTCTGCGGTGTTAGATCTCTGCCCGCCGAAGACTACGTGCTGGGTACGACCGAGCAGGAAGGACGTCCGAATGACGATCGATCTCGATATTCAACTTAGGAATAGTTGAGGCGTTTGTTGGGAGTACGGAAAGTTCGCAGCAAAACCTCTTCTTCCTTTCAATAGCTGCCATTCTAAACATGTCAAACTGAAAATAATTCGGAATCTCGTCAATTCAACAGTACAGAAATCATGCGCACATTTTATTGGCTCTTCTCTTCGTCGACTGACAGAACGTTTCGAGGTTGCTGGATATCATCAGGAACATATTTTAAGGCAGTTGATGTATATGATATATCCAAAGAAGTCAATTCGGAAAAATCCTAGACCTTCAAAGCGAGTAGTCCTTCCATATTTTCATAAAATTTCGCACAACATCAAAGCGTTAGCCGGCAGGTTTAATATTGGCACTGCCTTTTCTACAGATTATAGATTGAGCCGTTTGGACCCCTTTTGCCTGGACTGTTTCAGGTTGCACGATAAAACACAGAGAAAAGGATGTAGAACGTTCGTCGGGTGTCGTTTACAAGATACCCTGTGATTGTGGTCTCTGTTATATTGGACAGACTAAACGCTGCTTAAAGGGGTTATGACACGTCAAAAATAAAATATGAGATAACGGTACTGCTAGGACCCATTGTATGTTCCTATAATCCTGCTAAATTTGTTTTGAAAAAGGCGCGATAATTTCGTGGATAAATCGATTTATATGCGGGCCCCTCGGAGGGGCAGATCCAGGCGGACCTGGAGGCTGATGACGTAGCCAGCCTCCAGCGCTGTGTCTCCTTGCACGCACTCACAGTCTTGGCTCTCTTGGCGTATCGAGCGGCTTCCTCGTTTACCTTCCACGTTTCGAACATGCGGTCCGTGACTATTACGTCTACGGCATCGCTCGCCTTGTCGAAGTGTTCGACATTGATCGCAGCAGCAATGAAAGTGATTGCTATCAAGAGGTGTTGGAAGCTGTTCATTTTGACTGCAACCCGCTGGCGACCAGCTCCAGCGACGACGAGTAACGGACGAACTCACCGTGGTCACCGCCGTCCGGGAATATCTCGGAGGCGCATGCAGGGTGGAAGGTCAACGGGCTGGGGGTGAGAGCGAGAATAGCTTTCGGGTTACCGAGTTGTGTGAGCGGTTTTGATCGTACCGCGACGAGGAGAGCTGGAGCAATCAGGGGGGCGCCTAGAATGAGAGAGTGTTCATGATCACGTGGTTTATGGACACCATGTTGTGACTAACTTGGGCAGTGTTGCCTGGTCGCCAGATGAAAATTATAAAAATTCGTAAATTGAATATTGCTATTACCAGAGCTCTAAAACTCGCGTAACTTGGTGTATATACTAAGTAGCCTATGAGCATTCTATTTCAAGAATAATCTATTTGTTTAATTTCCATGTCATAACCCCTTTAAATGAGCGCTTGATGAAACACAAACGTTGTATAATGAAAAAGGACCCGTTCTCCGAAGTGTCAAAACATGTTATCGAATGTAGGGACTGTGCACCGTTGTGGCATTTAACTTCAGTAGTGTTGCGGGAAAAAGATGACCACAAGCAATTGATAAAAGAGTCATTAACAATACTAGGTCACGGGAACGCAGTTAATAAGCCGTCGTTTGGGTTGGACAACGAACTTCGGCGTTTTCTTAGGCTGTGAAAAGTTCTGTCCTTCAAGAATTATCTTTGTAGGTTTTCGGGTAAAAGAAACGTTAAATCGGTTGTTTTTTGTTTTTTTTGCGTTAATGGGTTAATGTAGGTTTTTGGGTAGAAAAAACGTTAAGTCGTTTGTTTTTTGTGCGCGTGTGTGTGTGTTAAGGGGCTTAGGCATTCAGTGTGTTTGGCGGTCGGGTAGTGAGGGGTCAAAGATAAGAGAGGTGCATGACGCACAGTCCGTTGTCCTTGTATTTAGTCAAAGGTTACATTGGTGGAAAGTGGCATTCTTTGGGGTTCTCACCCTCTCCCCTTTTTTTTTTTTCTTTTGTATCAAAGTGCCTATATAACCAGATTTCGGAAAATAAAAATTTCAGCTGTGTTAGAGACTTTTTAGTGTTGTGTTGTTTACCCGCAGTCTCGGGGTTTTTTCAACCATATGCAATGTACACCAGCTCGTTTGCGCCCTTACTTTTTGTTCATGAAACATACAGGAAGACTTGATTTTTTTTTTATATATGTTGGACTTCGCCAGGTCTTGCTTTGTTGTGTTATTCGACATTCTTTGCGACCATCTTTTATTACATGTAAAAATAGTACCGCAGCAGGTCGATTAATAATAATATTATCTTCTTTTTTTAGCAATGAGCATGGGTATGTGCTAGATAAATAAAGTGCCGAAATATCTCGAACCAGTACAAGCATTCGTACCATATTCCACAAATGCAGTTGTGACACGATCTTTGCAAACAACTTAAATTCCCTCGCCATAGTTTACGTTGGGAAAGCGGATGATGATGATAATGATCACCGTGCGACGTCCATTAAGCCGGGCTCACGCTGCTCATGCATCGTACAAACAACAGTCCGCGAACTACGAGTCATCGCAATATCCGTCGTTCGAATGTCGCGGGTCAAATAAAGTTTCTCCTCGAACTCGTTGCTATTTGACATTCGAAGCACTGATCTCGCGTTGACTCGCGTTTGATATTGTATGCAGTCTGACTTTTGTATGATGCATAAGCATTGTGAACCCGGCTTGACGGTTTTCTGTAGAAAAGATCGTTCCATATGCGGAGAGCAAGTCGTCTGCTTCTTGCGCAGGGTGTTGCGGTGACGTCAGAAAGACGCCGAGCTCTGATTGGCTCAGGGCTCGTCGTTCTGACGTCACCTCAACCTTTGCAAAGGAAGCAGACGAACTTGCGCTCCGCATCGGAAACTGGCTTAAATCACCTTGGAGTTTGTAGGATATAGCCATGTATACTTTATTTCACATTGAGCCTTACCGCAGCCAAGGCTACGATTTTCGGGAGCCAATCAGGCAGTGGCAAAAGTGTCTCGTCACGGTGCTCGTGGTCTTTGTGTGCTCGCTATCAGTGGCTAAACTAATCAAGCGCAGAAAAAAAATTACCGGATCGCGACGAATTTACTGGGGGTGATTGGTTTAGCCGCCGCTATGCTATTATAGTCGGTTACAAGTCAAGAAGGTAGGAGAAGCTCCTCCCACAAGTGTGATGCGCCCGTTTCAAATCTCTCCGCAGTCGAAAGAAGAGTTCACTGGAAACGCTCCTTGTTCCGCTTCAATGGATTCCCACTTGTCTCCGATCCCACTTTTTAAGAAAGCGACCTTTGTACTCATTGGAGAGGGAACCGAACCCCTGAAAGCAGCCTTTGTATCCATCGGGGGGGAAGCTAATCCCCGAAAGTCGTATTTGTTTCCGTCGGTGGGGGAGAACTCTAATCTCCCTCTCGTAGCGTCCACAATGCTAAATAAAAGTCGAAAGATAAAGCAAATATGGGTACAGGAAGGCAAGCCCTTCCTCGCGCGTTGGCCGCGACGTCACGGAAACGGTGGAACGCTATTGGATGCGGAGGTGGCGGAGGGATATCTTATTCCCTTTGAGGGGCATTTGCCGCTACCTTCTTAACCTGGCGCCCCCTTACGGCGAACCGGGGTGACGTCACGGCGAGGAGAGAATTTGTACCCGACTCGCCCCGCTCGCCTGGTGGAGGCTGTGGCGACGCTTGCTGTCGGCGCGCTCGTTTCTATCTAATTTTTTTTCGGTGTGTTTTCCGTAAGAAGTGTAAATTTTTATATTTGCCTTTATTGAGGTATGGCCTGTAGCTACAGGCGAAACTTCAACCAACATTTTAAGCATGGTTGACAGGGCAGGCAACGCATGAATCAAAGCTGGTATATGAAAATAAAGAAATATGGCCACAATTGCAGGAGCATCACTATAGATTTACATTTCGCACAATAAATGCTGCTGATGGTCTGAATGAATTGGCAGGTTATGTATACTATTTTTTTTTGTATCCCTGCTTATAAACAAGATCGCCGAAGCAGAAAAGCTGCATGCTGCTCGAACAACATGCTGAATACAGTCTGGGCCATGGGGAGAGAATCACAATTGAGACAGCCCAAGTGCAGGGGCAAAGTAAAAAAAAACAAAAAAACAAGGAATCTTTATTATATACATTGCTCGCATTTGACCTTTGCTGGATTCGGATAGTATTTCAATGGACTACAGGGGTGACATCTTTGGACTTGTTTATATCAACCCACAAGTAATGTATAACAAACGTAAGTGAAGGTGTCTAGCTCGTTATTAGTCCCTTAAAGGGGTTATGACACGAAAATTAAACGGATAGATTATTCTTGAAATAGAATGCTCATAGGCTACTTAGTATATACACCAAGTTACGCAATTTTTAGAGCTCTGATAATTGCAATATTCAATTTACGAATTTTTATCATTTTCATCTGGTGACCAGGCAACACTGCTCAAGTTAGTCACACCATGGTGTCCGTAAACCACGTGACCATGAACACTCTCTCATTCTAGGCGCCCCCATGATCGCCCAAGCTCTTCTCGTCGCGGTACGAACAAAACCGCTCAAACAGCTCGGTAAACTGAAAGCTATTCTCGCTCTCGCCCCCCGGCCGGTTGACCTTCCACCCTGCATGCGCCTGCGAGACTTTCCCGGACGACGGTGACCACGGCGAACTCGTCGTCGCTGCAGCTCGTCGCCAGCGGGTCGCAGTCAAAATGAACAGCTTCCAACATCTCT